CTCAAACAGTGCCTGGTACATTGTGTAAGTAAATACTTGTCAAATGAATCAATAAGATCTTGTTTACAAGAGTTATACATTAGAATCTCACCTGTCCATCCACTTATTCAACAGCATAAGACCATTTATATTTTTCCTTAAAAAAATAAATTAAAATACAAGGTATTAGTTTCCCCTTTAAGATAGTAAAAGGCCTACAGGCAGGCTACAGAAGAATCCTTAGCCCCCCCACACTCTTGCTCTGGCTGGACTTCTAGCCCCAAGCTTTTGAGGAGAAAGGGATGAGAAATTTCCAGCACCAGGAAGATGTGCCAGCTCATCTTCTCAATGGAAGATGTTTTAAGCTTGAGTTGATTTCGAGCTTGAAAAACACTGTTGATTTAAATTGCATAAGTCAGTAAACAATCGTTGGCCTGAAAAATTAGTCACAGTTTTTTGTTCTGCTTTGTTTTGAAATAGTGATATTTTATAAACTGAGGTAGATGAATCAGCATTCAGTGTCCAGGGGGGCAACTTATTAACCTTCAACAAAAACAGCCACAACCCATATAGGTAATGCTCCAAGTGCTTTTTTTTTTTGTTTTTGTGGCTGGCTAGTATGGGGATCTGAACCCTTGACCTTGGTGTTATCAGCACCATGCTCTACCAACTGAGCTAACTGGCCAGACCCCCACATACTTATTAATACCCTAGACATACACACACGTGCACACACAGACACACACACACACACACACTCTGAGCACAGCATTTGTTATGTTTTGAATAAGTGACTAAATAAACTTCCATTACTACTGCTACCAACAAAAATAACAATACTCACTCAGTGCCAGCCAACACTTACTGTGTGCCAGACACTGTTTTTAGAGCTTATTAAATCTTCACTACAACCCAATGAAGTAGGTACTATCATTATCTCCATTGTACAGAAGAGAAAAATGAGGCTCAGAGAGGTTAAGTGACTTCCTCAAGGTCACATAGCAGGAAGTGGGCCCAGGCAGCTGGGCTCGGAGTCCATACTAAGACCCATTCTAGTAGCGTACCCGCTGTCTGAGACATCAGTGAACACTTCAGACAAACTCTACCCCCCACTGGCCCCCACTGCTCAAATTTCAGAAGCGGAGAACAGACACTAAAGCGATAAATAAGTAAACTACACTGTGGATTACAAAGTTATAAAAGTATGGGGAAAAATATAGCCAGGAGGGGGGGACAGGGACTCTGGAGGCTGTGATTTTAAGTAGATGACCAGGAAAGGCCTCACAGAGAAGGTGATGTTTGAGCAAAGACTTGAAGGAGATACGGGAATGATGCTGGGACACAGAGGTGGCCCTCCCCACAAGAAGCTGCCAGTCTGGGGATGGTGGGGGACAGGGAGGGAACACTGGAGTAAACAGAGGAAGGGCTGATGAAGGCAAGCCCAAGGTGCTACAGGAGCCCCCAAGGACACACCAAGGTAGCCTACGGGTGTGGGTGGAGGGCATCTTGTAAGAGGTGATGCCAGAAAATAACTAAATTTTTATAGAATGGATCAGTCAGTCAAGGCAAGGGAAGGATAGGAAACAGCAGTTGGAGGGTTGAGCAGCAAGGGCACCCAGGCAGAGGGCATAGCAGAGGCAAAGTACCAAGCAAGAGGCAGTCTGGCCTATCAGGAAAGGAGGAGCAGGTTGGAGGTGTGAAAGCACAAAGGGTAAGGGAGGGCCCCAGAAGGGACATGGATGGTTGAACCAGACCATGAAGGGGATGCCAGACCATGAAGCATCTGCAATGCCAGGCTGAGAAGCTGGTACTTTGTCCTGAGGATGCTGGGAAGTCCTGGGAGGGCTGTGAGCAGGGGAGAGCAGGGTCAGCTCTGGGTGCAGGAAGACTCCTAAGGCTGGGAGAGAATGGGCTGACGGGGAGAGACCGAGAACCAGGAAGGAGGCTGGAGCAAGCATCCAGGTGAGAGAATAAGGCCTGAACTGCTGGGGCCATGAGGATGGAGGAGAGACAATGGGGCAGGAGGGACAGGGCTCAGAACTAACAGCCTGAGGGAGGTGAGGGGAAGGAGGGGAAGGAATGGTGCCTGGGGCCTGTCCTGGTGATTAGGTAGCAGGTAGTGTCTGAATCACTTATTTTTTCCAAAAGGGACATCAACAGACACATCCAGTGAAATAGGATGTAATGGAGGGAGCTCTGGGACACTGTGTGAGGGAAACGTAGCACCGACCCTCCAGAAAGTAGAGGAGCTGATACAATGCTGCATACACATGGAACTAACAGGCTGTGGGAGGTGAGGGGAAGGAGGGGAAGGAATGGTGCCTGGGGCCTGCCTGGTGATTAGGTAGCAGGTAGTGTCTGAATCACTTATTTGTTCCAAAAGGGACATCAACAGACACATCCAGTGAAATAGGATGTAATGGAGGGAGCCCTGGGACACTGTGCGAGGGAAACGTAGCACCGACCCTCCAGAAAGTAGAGGAGCTGATACAATGCTGCATACACATTTCTACTCTGTCCTCTAGTTGAACACACTGGAGGAACCCATGTGCCCATCTCTGTGCTGATCAACAGTGGGAAAAGAGCATGAGCCTGTCTGGTGGGGGAGACAGATTTACAACCCCAGACATCCCAGGCCAGAGAGACCAGAGGTGGGGCAGAGAGAGGAGGCCCAGGGGTGCTGTAGGAATACAAAGGAGGCACCCCCAGGAACAGTCAGAGGTGAGAGAAAACCAGGAGACATGGGCCCCAGGGCCCTAAGAGGAGTCTCAAAAAGATGGGCAGCAACATCCTTGTCATATGCTGCCAGAGGCATCATTAGGCCAAGTAGCTGTTGAGTGGAAATAGGAAGGGCAGAGTCTGGAGCCAGACTCGCTAGGGTTTCGATCCTGACTCTCTCTGCCACTTACTAGCTGGGTGATCTGGCAAGTAACTGAACCTCCACGGACCTCAATTTCCTCATCTGTCCAGTGGGATTAATAATATAGAGAGTATTGAGAGGACTGAATGGGTTCATCTCTGTAAAGGATTTATAATGCTTCCTGGCACACAGTAAGTAGTACCCACTGTTAGCTGTTCTGTGTCCCAGTCTGTCTCCTCCCCAACCCATTTCCCAAGCAGGCAGGGGCAGTATCAGCATCACCTTTGATCACTTTCACCCACTGTGAAGCCTCCCAGGTGCCAGGGCCCTGAGCTGAGCAATGCTGGGGACAAAAGGGTGAGCTCCTAATCTGATGGGGGAGACAAACATGCACAACAGTCACCTCTTCAGTCCAGTTTAGGCCAAGCATTGAGAGAAACTGGCCTGAGGGGCCCTGTCTAATTCACCTCTGTCTATATCAGCTTTCCTGTGGGAACAAGCCGAACGGGCTCTCAGAAACGTTATGCACCCCCCCCACCTCCCCCTTATATGGAGAATGAAAACAATTCCTCCAGCTCAGTCAGGTTGGCCCCTTGAACTTTCATCTCTAGCAAATAAACTCCCTCCCTTCCTAGCTAGAGCCTCACCTCCTTGCTCACCCTGTGGCTATGGAGGTGAAAAGACAGCTTCTGGCTCCCCACAGTGCCCTGTCTGACCCCCACTATAACACATCTCCGGTGCGGTAATAGTTAATGGAATAGGTAATGTGTGCAAAGCACGAGTCTGAGTGAAGAATCAGAAGGACCTGGATAGGACTCTCGGCTCTGTCCCTCCCTAGCTGAGTGTCCTCTCTGACTCAGTTTCTCCGTGTGTTAAACAAGGACCACAACTCCTCCGGCGGGTAAGAAATAGAGAAGGTAACTCGCCCCGCATACAGCTATTAGAAGAGTGAGTCCCGAACTGGGAAAAAGGAAACAAGGTCATGACTCCAGAGGGATCATGTGGCAGAACCTCACAGTCTTTGATCTTTGCCCCCAGGTGTGACTTTGACATTTGGGGGAAGATCGGCAGAGGTCGGAGGTTACAAGAAGAACCCCATACAGAGCGCGCTCGTGATCCCGAAAGCGCACGGCCGCGGGAGTCAGGGAGGTGGGAAAGGGGGGCCCGGTCACCTTCACGGCGTAGTCGATGACCCTCTTAACACCCACGAGCGCGCGCAGCTCCGCCATCTTCCTGCCGCGGCCACCTGCGGGGTCAGTCCCCACTCTGACTCTGCCCTCCCGCCACGCCCTCCGTCCTTCTCTGCGCCTGCGCGCCGCGCCGCCAGCCAGTCAACCCCCGCGGAGCCCGCCTCCTCAACAGAGGACCAATCAGGAGGCTGAAGAGAAGGGCGCTGGGCGTGCGATGCGGACCAATGGGAAGAGAGTCCCGGAGGGAGAGACGGGACCGGAGTGGGAGGAGGGGAAGGCGGGGAACAAAGGGCAAAGTCGTGCCGGGAGGGAAGCGCTCCGGGAGTGGAGATCCTCCTGGTCCTCCTAAATTCTTCCCGATGTCCTGATCTGCTCTCCCCCTGCAGATCCCTCCCTTCTTCCCCACCTCTCCAAGTCACCGTGCCATTGTCGCCATGACCACCCGGTGCTCGTGTTGCCACGCCACTGAGTCCTCCAGTGCCGGTGTCTCCCCGTTCTCTCCAAGCCCGTGTTTCTTGTCCCCTCCACTGTCCGCGTCTCCCGTTTTCCTCGATGACAACCCCACACCCTTCCACGCCACTGAGTCCTCCAGTGCCGGTGTCTCCCCGTTCTCTCCAAGCCGGTGTTTCTTGTCCCCTCCACTGTCCGCGTCTCCCGTTTTCCTCGATGACAACCCCACACCCTCTCCATGAGCTCACGCCCCTTATGGCCCCACTCCCCCCGTGTGCTCTTTCCCTCCAAGTCCGTGTCCCTTGCCCACGTTCGTGTCCCTATGTCCATGTCCCCCCCTCCACGTTCACAATAGGTTCATGTCCTTAAATCCAGTCCTCTAGCCTTTATGTATCCCAATGTCTGCGACCCCGTGTCCTTGTCCCCTGTCCTCTTCATGCTCATGTTCCCATGCTCATGTCTGTTCATGTCGCCCGTGTCCGTGTCCCCACGTCCCCAAGAAAGGCAGGCGGAGCCGCGGCGCCAAAAGCCGTTCCTTTATTCTGTCTCGGACAGGCTGAAGTCACAGACACACGGGGAATCCACTGATAGCGTCGGTGCTCTGCACGATCATGTCTGCCAGGAGAAAGCAGAAGCCTGGAGGGGGGAGCAGAGGGCGGGTGGAGGAAGGTGGGTCCTGGGGCGGATGGCCGGGCGGGCCCCGCGACTGGAGTTTGGGGCTCCAATGGCGTCTCTGCTAGGTCTGCGGGAGTCGGGAGTGGACTGAGCAGGGGAGCCCCTGAGGGGTCACTGTGGGTTTTCCTAGGAGGGCAACTGGGGAGTCTCCTCCACCCTCTTCCCGCCGTTCAGGCTACTAACCCGCGAGAATGGAGAAGACCAAAGCCAGCCACCCAGAAAAATAGGACCAGGAGAAGAAGACGTCGTGCTTCCACGCATTCTTCACGGTGTAGCCTATCAAGGCGATCAGCAGCAGCAGCCCTGGGCCCCGCCACCCGTCGGGTGAGCGTGGGCTGCTCAGCGTAGCCGGGTGGGGCGCCCTTTCGGGTCCGCCCCGTCCAGGGTCTATCAGGCCACGCCTATCTCCTTCCTGCGCCGCCTCTGGCCGTGCCGCGTTCTAGTTCCTTCCCCTTCGAATCCTGTCACCTCGAGCCCCGCCGCCTTCCCTCGGCCTCCAGCCCCTCCTCCCAGCTCAGGTCCAGCACCTCACGCCCCACGCCCTGGCTCCCAGGCGCACCCTCTGCCGAGGGGCCTGCAGCCGTCTCACCGCAGAGGAAGAAGGCGCTCGTAGTCTGGCCCCTCAGCGACTCGCCCTGGTGGCACAGAATCCTCAACGCCATCACCATTCCCACGACGCCCAAGCCCGCCGCCAGCGCCATGCACACCCCCGTCACGGCCAGCGTGGCTAGGGAGAGCGGGCCGCATCAGCCCCTCACGGGCGCCGCCCCTGTCGCGACAACCGGTCGCAACAGGAAACTGCCCTGGCCACCACTCCCACCAGCCGGTACGGGGCTAAGAGCCTTGCTCTGCCGACCCGGAATCAGGCATTTGGATGGGGACTTGGAGTTCATGTCACGACAGGCATAATGTGACGGGGGGTTGGAGGGAGGGACAGGGAGGCAGATCCACAAGTGGTGGTTCGTGGTGGCCTCGGTCATGGAGGGGCCGCTGGGATGGAAGGAGTGGGGGTGGGGGCGGCTTATTGTGTGCCCAGCTGTTGTGTCCCGAGCTCTGGGAGCTGGCTGCAGGGGGTCTGAGGTGTGAACGCGCCGGGCCTCACTCTGGCAGAGCATGTTGGAACAGATGCCGTGGTTACACTCCTGCCACAGGCCACTGTGGCCACCATGGTGGCGGGTCCAGTAGTTGGTGGCAGTGGAGAGCACTATGAGGATGTTGGCCAAGAGGATGAACAAAGTGCCCCCACTCTGAAGGCTCCGCTTCACCCCCATGCCACAGAGGCTGCTGCCAAGGGCCACACAGGCAAGATTGGCCACCACCCCTCCTGCCCTAAGGACCCCACTTCAGGACACTCCTACCCCAGCACCTCTCCCTGGGACCCCTGCTTCTCAGGACCTGAAGACTCTCCCTCAGATCCTCCCATGCCCCAGGCCCCGTCCTCAACAGCCCTGCCTGGGGACTCATGATCCCTTCCCCCCAGAACTTGTTCCTCAGTGCCCCAGTCAGTCCTCTTCCCTTTGAAGACCCTGAGGCCTTCACCACAGGCTTCACTGCTTAAGAAGCTATCATCCCAGAGACCTCCCTCCTCCAGTGGAATGTCCCTTCAGCCTGTCCAGTGCCCTCCCCACCCCTACACACACACCCACCTAAGGGACTCACAGCCAGCTCCGCAGGGCTTCTTAAACACAGAGCCCAGAGTGGTGGGGGGAGGAAAACGGGGTCTCTGTGAGGCAGTGGGAGTTCCAGAACCCCCTCCCCCAGCGGCCATTTAAAGGGATAACCACCCTTTACACACACACACTCCAGCAGCTCTCTTAATAGAGTGACAGCTCAGAGTCAGGCAGCAGGTCTTGGGGGAGCTTGAGGGCCATAAGATAGTAGATCATGTCCTTCTTCTAGAAACTTCTCTTCCCTTGACTTCTGAGGCTCGTAAGCTCTCCTGGCTCCCAAGTCTCTGACTGCTCTCTCAGACCCCCATGTGTGCTCCTGCTCCTGCATCTTCTCCCCTCCCTTGAGGCTCCATCCTGCACCCTCTTACCAGGTGCGCCCTTTTACTTTTGCAGCTTCAGTGACCCTTGATACATTGAGAGCACCCCAAACTCCATCTCCAGCCCCAGGTCTCTCTCCTGAGCCCCACACTCGAGTCCTAACTGCTACTCTCTGTCCCCCAGGGTCCTGACCCTCAACCACATCCCAACTGAGCTCAGTATCTTCCGCCAAACCAGAGGTGGAAGCACCGCTCCACCCAGTTTGTCAGGCCAGACCCCTGGGCATTATCCTTGACCCTTCCTGCCCTTCTCCCCACAGATCCCTTGGATCCTCAAGTCCTGTTCTTCCTGCCCCTGAATCTGCCTGGCTCATTCCCTCCTTTCCATCTCAGGCCCTGGTCCCAGGTCAGGCCTTGTCCGCTCCCACCTGTGCATTGCCAACTCCTCCCTATCCTTCTGGCCTCCCCTCCTAGTCCCTAGAAGGGTCTTTCTGGCACCCAGAGCTGAACTTCAGAGTTTTCTCCTAACTCTTCATCACCCTCAGGAGAAAGTCCAGCATGGCATTTGAGGCCTCCAAACTCTCCATCTTCATTTTCCATCCCCCCACATTCTACACTCTGGCCACAGAGCACCATTCTCCATCCCCTGAAAACTCCTGGCCTTCCCATGCCTCCATCTTTGGTCCCCTCTGCCTGGATATTACCTTTCCTTGGGCTTCAAGAAGTTTCTAAATACCATCTCCCCAGAAGCTCACCTCTATCCTCCATGATGTGGTCATTCTTTCTCTGGTGCCCTCCCTGGGCTCTGACTGCTGTCTGGCCTGTATTAACTGCTTTTGGTCTGTAACAGACCCCCTCACCCCCCCACCCCGCATCTCATCAGACCGCAAGCCCCTGGTGGACTCATATCAGCCCCGATCTGATCCATGTCAGCATACCCAGCACGGCCCTGCAGAGAGGGCTTGCTCAGGAAACAGCTGCTGAAGGAGCGAAAGAACTAATGAAACAGGCAAAGAGAACTGAAAGAGACTGAAAGCCAGGGAGGGCAGAATTCTGGTGAGGGTTACAAAATCAGAGAAGAGAGAAGGAAAGAGAGCTAACTAAAGGAAGAAAGACCAGGAAGAAAAGAGAAGGAGGGATAGGAACAGGGAGAAAGAAAAGCAGGAGAGAAGGAGGGAGACATGGGGAGAGGTGTCTGTGTCCACACAGGCCCTCCCACTGGGCAGGAGCACCCTGTGTGCTGGTCTGGCAGGCTCTCACCCCCACCAGGTGCCCAGTGTCACCCACCGTGAATGAAGCTGGTGTATGGTTGGTTTATGTCTTGGCTGAATTAATCTCGGAATAACCAGGTTCCAGCAAATTTTTGTTGAATGAATGAAGAAACAACTGAAGGGGCTGGGGAGGGCTGTGAGTGAGGGACAGGCAAGATCAGGTATTCCTGGGCTCCTGATGACGCCACCTTCAGAGAATCGTGCTCAAAACTTGTCCTGCTGTTCTTGCCTTCTGCTCACAAGGTTTCGTAGCCAGACTGATGAGCACCACAGTGAGCGCTCAGACTTAGGGCACCTGGGGTGGCCAGAGAGCATGTAAGCACTTGCCCAACCCTGTTCCCTCAGAGTCCCCCGTTGGGCCCTCCCAAGCTCCCCTGGGCAGCGGGTAGGGTGTTCACCTGCACTGAAAAAGAGGATAGCTGAGACCCAGCCCAGGTAGAAGGACCAGGAGAAGAAGGTCTGGATCTGGGGGTGTGGAGGCTGGCTCCAACGCTCGCCAGTGTACACCGCCATGGCCACCATCATGGTGAGGGCTGGGGACGAGGACAAGAGATGGCTCAGCCCCTCCGCAGGAACTTGCCGGCTCCCAATGCCCAAGTCCAGCCCAGAGTCCTTACCTGCAGCAAAGGCTGTGATGGTTGAGACAAGGGGGCCACGGCCTGGGGCAGACAGTGAGGGGATGCAGGACAGGACAAGGAAGCCCACAGACAACAGGCCCCACAGGGCTGCCAGAATGCAGAAGCTCTGTGTCACATGGATGTAGCCTGATCGGAGAGGAAGCCTTTGAGTGCCCGTCTGCACTGGCCATCCCCCCGCAAGAGAATCTACTTCTCCTTACCTGCTACTGGGTCCTGATGCCCCGTTGGCCAGAGGCCCGAGTGAGCTGAGGATTTGGGCCCTCTGGCCGCGAACCAGAAATCGGTGCTCAGAGCAACTAGGGAGGATGTCAGGCCCAGGGAGCCAGCAAGCAGGGCCAGGGATCGACAGGGCTCCATGGGGGGTGAGCGCTGGGCTTCTGGGTCCTGAGGGATGAAGAGGGTGCTAATCCTGACTCCTGGGTCTCTGAGCTCAAGAAAGGGAAGCCAGAAAACAGTAGGATCAGCTTACAGGCCTGTGCTCCTTCAGACAAGGTTGGTTTCGCTGCTGACTTTTCACACACTCTCCCTTCCTGGGTTGCACAGACAACGTCTTCCCTCCCTCTCTGGTGGGTCTGGTTCCCCTCCTTGTGTGTGGTGGGGGAGGGCACAGAGGGTGTCGAATCATCAGTGGTTTAGGTAGTGGTTTAGAACTTGCATCTCTGTCTCAGGTTCTATACCTCCCACCCTTGGAGCTCTCAACACCATGAGGGCTTCCTGGAAGGGGTGAGAGAGAGATTTGGGGGCCCAGAGGTGGGAAGTGGCCAATCAGGCTTTGGTGTGAATTAAATAGGAGGAGAGATGTGGCCGGAGGGGACAGTTGGGGATGAGTCATGCTTTCCTGTGGGTTCTGCAACCTTCCATTCTAGGAGAGGAGGGCCCCAACACTAGAGTCTCCACCAAATGAGGGGGCTGAAGGTCAGACTCCTGGGGCTAGAGGAGGAAGAAACTGGGGGGCCTAAACTCTAGGTCCTGAGGGAGGAACAGGTGGTGGGGGCTTAGATTCCTGGGTTCTTCCCTGATTGGAGTTTATGCCCAGGGCAGGCAAATGGTAGAGAATCACAGTTCTGAAAGGTTTATGGAAAGGAAGACATGCCCACGTCCTCATCTGATAAATGAGTGCAGAGGCAGCTCGGTTTGCAGTCGGGCCTCCGGTGTGGTGGGCCTCATCACCAGGATCAGGGTGCCTGGGGGGGTGGGGGTGGATTATGAGGATGTCAGTACAGCAAGCTCCAGCCCTCCAAGCACTAGTCTCTACCCACACCAGCGTCAGATCCTGTGCAAAACCTCAACTGTGATCAGGTATGAAGTGAAGGTGCCACAGCCCATGTAGAATGTCCAGAAAAACCTGACCTCTGTGAAGTGGGAGATGGCCCAGAAGAGGACCTCAGTCATAAAGATGAACTGGGCTAGCCGTCCCAGGACAGCTGGTGAATAGGGAGAACCAGAAATGAACCAAGAGGCTGGGTGCTCTACTTTATTGTAGACTCCAATTTGCAGGGCCTCATCCCTCACCCAGACTCTCACCAGTGAGGCAACTGGCCACTCCTCAGAATGTGTTAACTAGGACAGGCTCGCAGAGGTAGGTGGAAGTCATGAGCAGCAGGGCCACCAACATAAAAATGGATGTGGGCAGGGCTCTGGCAAGGAGCATCCGGGTGGGTTTCAGGAAGTCTGGGTCATGGACATGTTGTAGACCATCTGTGACCTTGAGCCTATCCCAAACCCAACACCTTTCATAACCCTAGCTCCAACCCAAAACTCAACTCCATCCTCAAATCCAATCCCATCCCTAACCCCAATGTCATCCCATCTCCAATCCTTAATGTAACACCATCTCTGCCCTTAAAAACTCCATTCTTCTGGGGCCGGCCCGGTGGCGCACTGCTACAGTGCGCCGCTTGGGAAGCGTGGTGGCGCTCCCGCCGAGGGTTCAGATCCCACGTACGGACCGGCCGCTCACTGGCTGAGCGAGGTGCGGGAGCAGCACCGAGGGTTGCGATCCCGTGGCCGGTCCCGGTCTGGTACGGGCGCGACACTGAGGGTTGCGATCCGTTGCCGGTCACGAAAAAAGACAAAAAGGAAAAAAAAAAAACAACTCCATTCTTCTTTCTAAGCTCAATCCCCATTACGAACTCAATACTATCCCCAAATTCAACATCATCTCCAAATCTGACCCCATTCTCATTCCCAAACTCAAACCAAAACCAAACGCTAAACTCAACACGATCCTTAACCCCAGCTCTAACTCTTAATCTAACCCCACTCTCATCCTCAAATCTAACTCCTTTCTCATTCCCAAACCCAACCCCAAACTCAACCTCAACTACAGACTCAACCCCATCCCCAGCCCCACACTTAACCCCATCCCCAAACCTAACCCGAGTTCCAGCTCCAAATCCAACCTTGTCCCCATCCCCAAACTTACACCTATCCTCATTCCCATCCCCAACTCCAACTTCAGCCCCGTCCTACACTCACTTTCTTCTTTATTCTTCTCCCCAACCCCTACAATTCCTACAAAATTCCATCCATTTTCATCTTCAAGTCACCTTCAAGTTTAATCTTATAATCCTCTTTCTCGTCTCCCCAAGTCACCACCGCCACCACCCCCGTGGCACATATGCACGCACATGGGTGAACTGTACCTGGCTCCATAAGTCTTAGCACATGTAGGCATCACAGGCTGACAGCAGGTCCAGGTTCTTGGTGCCCCCTGGCACACACACCTCAAGCCAGGAAGGGCAGAGGAAGGCGACCAAGAAGAGCACAAAATCAAGGTAGCTGAATGTGGCCTTAAAGATAAAGTCGTCCTGCAGTAACTCCATCTGCTTTCTCAACAAGATGTGGTCTGGGGTTGCCAAAGGGAAAGATCAGGCCTGTTCCGAAGCTTTTCCCGAGAGTGCATGTCCCCTCCTTGGCCACACTATCCAAATTGTTGGTTTCCTTAGGTCTCTACCAGTCTTGTCCAAGCGCTGCCAGCTTTTCTGAATCACCCCAAGTCGCTCCCAGTCTCAGAAGCTCCTCAGCAGCTCCCAACTGACACAGAACACCCAGACATCATCACTCCAGGGGGCTCCTTCTGAGGCTCTGCCCAGTCCTCAGGCCCACCCTCACCACCCAGAGCCTTGGTCTTCATTCTATGGGTATTGGTTCTGTCTTGAGCTGATGTCCCCACCCACACAGTCCCAAGGATCCACCCATAGTCTGGGACCTCCTTCCCACACCCCTAACCCGATTATTGTTTCCCAGATCCTCCTGACTTGTCCTGATCCGAAGTGTTTCTCCTTCTACCACTTCCCACACGTTCTTTCAGACCTCAAGAACTTTAAGGCAGGAATGAGATCCGATTAATTTGTGGGCCCCCAAATTTGGGGATATGGCATTGCACAAGACAGATAAGACCTTTGTCCTCAATTAGTCTACATTCTATTACATATTCTATTAAAGAAATGAATGCTGCTTATAAATAGTTATTATGGAAGGCATCATCATTTCTGTTGAGGCTTGCTCTATTAATATTTAATGCAATCTATTATAATAATAAAAAGACTTTGAATCTCAATAGCATTAGAGTAGATCCCAATAAATGATATTTTAAGTAAGTCAATAAATACCATTATCATTTGACCTGAATAAATATTTATTATTCGACAAATATTCTTTTGAGTGATGTGCCAGGTGCTGTCTTACAAGCACTGGGGATCCAGAGGCAACCAAAAACAGACAAAATTTTCTGCCTTGGTGGTGCCTATATTCTTGTTGGGGGACACAGTAAGACATCTAAGAGAAGTATAGAGTATGTTTGTAAAAAGTGCTGTGGAGAAACAAAAGCAAAGAAGAGGGAGAGAAAGTGTATTGTGATTTTAAGTAGGGTGGCCAGGCACGCCTCACTGAAAAGTTAGATTTTGAGCAGAAGGACATTTGGGAGGAGTGGTCCAGGCAGAGGTTGGACACGTGCCGGGACCGAGAGGAGGTCAGCAGTCCTGAAGCAACAGTGAGTGAGCAGTAAAGAAATAACTCTTCCCAGCTCCTGGACAGGAACCTCTGAGCCCTTGAAAAGGTAAGACTGTCCTCATTTACCCAGAAGCCACGGTCATAACAGCTGGTTTATGCTAACAATGTGATTTATGATAGGGACCTTGGGTGACACTGTATCAGTTTGACCTCTGGAAGGACTGGAAACTGACAAAGTAAGGTCAGCCACATGGTGCTCCAGGCCTATGAGTCTGATCCCCATGCAAACCCCTCACGCTCAGGTGAGCTTCCCTGGTTGGCGACTTGCCATGCATACTGTCATACATTGTTGTCGGGAGGATTATCTCTGCCTGTGTGACTCCACTGGTCGAGGACAACCAGAAGCTCATACCTGGTCTCTCCTGACTCTGCCCTAGGCACCTTTTCCCTTCGTTGATTTTAATCTGTTATCCTTTTGCTGTAACAAACCAGAACCACAAGTATAACAGCTTTTCTGAGGTCTGCGAGTCCTTCTAGTGAATCATTAAAACTGAGGGTGGTCATAAGGACCCCTGAACTGTAGTGAGTGAAGGGGTATGAAGTCAGAGAGTTAGTGGGGGCCAGGGCATGTGGCCTCTTGTACATTAGTGGAATTTAGCTTTGCACCTGAAATGGGAGGCACTGGAGGGTTTAGAGCAGGGGAGCAACACGATTTGAGTCACATTTAAATGAAACTCTACCTGGATGCTGTGTGGAGAATATACTGCAGCAGGTAGGGAAAGATGAGGGTAGCAGGGAAGATAGTTATAAGATTGTGGCAATTAGTCAGGTGAGCAGTGATGGTGGCTTGGACCAGGGAGATGTCTATGGATGATCAAATTCTGGATACGTCTTTAAGGTAGAGCCAGTGCTATTATTTACTGAAAAATTAGATGTTGGATGTGACAGAAAGAAAGGAACTGGGATGATCCCAAAGTTTTTGGCTTGAGCAGCTGGATAAAAATGAAGTTGTCATTTCTTAAGGTTAGGGAGCTAGTGAGAGGAGCATGTGAGGGCGTGTGTGAGAGAGGTCAGGGATTTATTTTTAGACATGTGAAACTTGAGATGCCTCTTCTATTCAAGTGGAAAATTTTGAGTAAGTAGCTGGAGATATAAGTCTATAGCTTTAACATAATTATTATTGCCAGAGTAAGCTCCTATAAATATGATTAGTGGAATAATAATTATTACTTGGTAACTATTTCTATTTAACAGGCCTCAAAAAATTATTATCAGAGAAGGCCTCAATTGCCATTATTATTAGAAAAAAGCCTCTATAAATATAGAATTATTGTTATTTGAGGAGGCACCAGTAAATATTATTTTGGGGAATAAGCCTCTATTAATATAATATTTATTAACATAGGCTGCAATAAATACTCTGATCAGAATCTACCTTGCTAAATCGTCTTATTATCTTGTGATTGGCGTCAGTAAATGTCATGGCAATTGGCATCAGTTTATTGAATAAACTAATGAATGAGTGAAAGAAGAGAAGGTCAAGATCATGAATGGAGGATGCAGAGGCAGTTGCAGAGGCGAAGGCTCAGAGTTCTAGTGTTTCTAGTTGGAGCGGGAGGAGGTCAGAAGAGCCAACTGGAGACGGGGGTGGGAGGGCAGGGAGGTTGTTTAGTCACAGATCTTTTCATTTATCCTTTTATTCTACACATCCATTTCCTGGAAGCTGAACTGTGCTTGACTTTTGGGCAGGGACTGTTGTGATTTATCTCTGTCTCCATCCCTACAGAAACTGAGAAGGTTGAACCTCCATAACACAGCACCCCCTCCCCACACCCACCATACTCACACCTATGTCTCCTCATTCCAATCTTTTATGGATCCACACTTTAGTAGTTTCACATCAGTTTTATTATGCCCCAAAAGCCGCTCTAATAAATATTTCATTTTTCTAACAACTTGCCTGGCAGACGGGGGCTTGGGTCTTCTCAACTCTCTCCCACAAGACCCTATTCTTCCTCCCTCCCCCTTAGGACACGGGAGTCAGGGCCCCCACCCAGATTCCAGGACTGAGCCTCTTAACCTCCCCAGGAACCAGAACTTCAGGCCTCTAGACCCTCCCTTTCCTCTTCAGTGACCTCACTTTAACATCATGATGAAGTTGGGGGATACATTTGGGTTCAGCGGGGAGTGGACAGGCGCCGACATTCATGCATCCGGTAAGCACACATGTAGAAAATCCCTGTGTGAGAAGAGATCTCAGTTGACTCCCCTGAACCACCCCTGGTTCTTATTCCCATTCCAAGAGACCTCAACACTCCCTTTCTCCCTAAGTGTCCACAGTCCCCAAACTTCTTGGGTCTAGAGTCTGCCTTCTGACTCAGTGCTGTGGGATCCACGTGAGACACCCTGTCATCTCCCCCTCTGAAGTATTGCCCATTGTACCCCAGACACAGACCCTCCCACCCCTCGGCCCAAGTACCTGCAAAGAAGGTCATGAGCAGGGCCACCCAGCCCAGGATGTAAGACCAGGAAAAGCGCCAGTCCCCAAAGCGACGGCCGAGGAAGCTGACGGTGACTCCCGTGTAAATGGCCAAGGCCAGCAGGACAAAAAGGGCTGGGGAGAGAAGGTGGGAAGATCTGGATATGAGCAGGGAGTTGAAGATAGGGATGGGGTAGAGTTGGGTTGGGAGGGGGTAAGGATAAAGGTGAGGATGGGGGCTGAGTTGAGACTGGGAGTAAAGATGATTAGGGGGGTAGGGTTGGGATGAGGCTGGGGCAGAATTTTGTTGTACATTAAAGAATTTAACTGGTCATTGTCCCTGATTCCTGGGAGGGAGACTCTAAATCCTTGAATTTCCTGAGTCATAGGAGGAGGTAGGGTTGAGATGGGCTGGGGCAAAATTGTGTTGTATAATAAGGAATTTGACTGGTCATTGTCCATGATTCCTGTGAGGAGACTCTCAGTCTTTGGAATTTCATGAGTCATAGGAGTACCTTTGCTATTCATGAGTCCCTTAAACCACACCTGAATTTATGCTAATAAATGAGATGATTCAAGATGGGGGCCTGTCACCAGAAAGACTGACAATGTAGTTAGAGGGTTGGGGCTTTATGCCACTTGTCAGCCCAACCTCTGGGCGCCAGAGGAGAGCTGGAGATTGAGTTCAATCAATCATGCCTATGTAATGATACTACAATAAAAACTCTGAACACTGAAGTTCAGTGGGGCTTCTTGTTGGTGAACACATCTATGTGCTAGGAGGAAGACCCCTGATCCACAGATGGAGGACTTGGAAGCTCTGCACTTGGGACCCTCCCAGGCTTTACCGTATGTGTCTCTTCATTGGCCTTGTACTGAATTTTGTTGCCTATAGGAAAATCGTAATCATAAGTATAGCACTTTCCTGAGTTCTTTGACCTGTTCCAGCAAACTTTTGAACCTAAATGGATCTTGGGAGCCCCCAAATTTGTACCCAGTTGGTCAAAAGTGTGAGTGACCAGAGAACCCCACTAGCAGTTTGTATCTGAGGTAAGGGCCTCAGGTTGGGGACTGTGCCTTTAACCTGTGGAGTCTGACACTAACTCTAGGTGGTCAATGCCAGAATTAAATTGCAGTATGCTGGTTGGTGTTAGAATAGGCTGGAATTAGATATAGTCGTAAGGTTGGCTTGGGAGCTGGGGTTGGAATTAGCGTAGGGGCGGAATTGAGAGGAAGTAGGAGTAGGTGGTGGGGATAGACTGGAGTTGAAAACAGGAAGGAAGTTGGAGATGGAAGTTAGGAGAGGGATAGGAGTAGTGTGGGCTCACTCACTGGAGGCGAAAAACATGATGCCGGCAGAGAAGGGCCGGGAGAGGCGGGTGAAGGTGGGCTGTTGAGCGAAGGCCAGGATGCCCATGATGATGCCGGAGGTGGCACACAAGGCTGACAGGATCATGAAGGCCCGGGTGGCATTCCAGTATGCTGTGGGAGCACCCCATTGTCACTCTCATGCCTGCCCTGCTCTCTCAGTGGGGGGACGCTGCTACCACTGGGATGAGAATGCCATGTCCCTCTCCAAATCCCTGACCCAGCTCCTCCTTTACATCTCCACAAGTGCCATCTTTTTCACATGGAAAACTCCTCCTCATCCTTCATAGCCCAGCTCTCAAGACCCCTCCTCTAGGAAGCATCCCTTCACCCCTCAAGCATCATCTTCACATACTGCTCTGGGCTCTGACTCACTTTGTCTGTCTCCCCCTGCAGCCTGACTGCTCCCTGAGGACAGGGGATGGGTTGATTCTGTGTCACAAACACCCCAGAACGGGTTTGGTTTGCACATCAGCCTGGAGAAATGATTGTTACCCGAAAGCATGAATGCCGATTCCCAGTGACTCACTTTGTCTGTCTCCCCCTGCAGCCTGACTGCTCCCTGAGGACAGGGGATGGGTTGATTCCGTGTCACAAACACCCCAGAACGGATTTGGTTTGCACATCAGCCTGGAGAAATGATTGTTACCCGAAAGCATGAATGCCGATTCCCACATCCTCTTGATAATCCCTCTCTATCCTCTCTCACAGTGCTCTCTTCCATTTCCTTCACACCACTTGCCCATACCTGAAAATATCCTATTTGTTTTTGACTTGTTTATGTTCGTTTCCACTAAATTATTAGCTCTGTGAGGACAAAGGCTTTACTATCTCTTTCACTGCGTTTCCTTCACACCACTTGCCCATACCTGAAAATATCCTATTTGTTTTGACTTGTTTTGACTTGTTCGTTTCCACTAAATTATTAGCTCTGTGAGGACAAAGGCTTTACTATCTCTTTCACTG